AGTCACTCTCTCCAAATGTTTCATTACAGCTTTTGAACGTTATTCTCCTTGGCAGGAATGATAATTTCTAATTCTAAATGCTTTTTGCAATTAATGAATTTTCAAATATCAGTGTGGGAAATTTCTTCACAGAGTAAGAGAGAAATTACTTTAGTTGCTTACTAAATATAAGATTTTGGTTTAGTTTCAAATGGTTAGTTCAAATTTTGGCTTAAGGGGCCTCAACAGTTCAGTCATTTGGGGAAACTAGCAGCCTAAGAACTGTAGAGAAGCAAATGAAAATATTAGAAACTTAGAAAATTTGAGAGCCACCTCATCTCAGAAAGTTGGGATTACACCTCACCTGTCCTACACCAATCTAAATGTTTTCCCCCCCTATTTTTTCTTTTTCCAAGGGTAATCCATAGTTCCAAGAAAATAGGATATAAAGTTTCACAGTTGTGCCATTACGTACTCAGGTTAAGGACTATTTAAAAAAATTACTAAGGGACTTCCAGAAGATCATAGAGCAAACTATTTGCAGAGCTTAAACCCCCTTCTGGCACTTTACATCTTTGATTTTATATATGGGAAGTACTTAAAATAGAACCTGACACCTTGTAAGTGCTGCTGCCCTAGCTATTATTTTATACTTTATTATGTTCTAATCTTTCCCGACAGGACTATTTTTATTATAACTCAGGTGGAAATGCCTTTCATCCCTTCCTAAATTAGTCAAAGCTGATGGTGAATGCACGTGACAGAAAGAAAGCACCAGCAAGTCATCTAGAAAGTATTCTTACTGATTATCTTGGATGTGGCATAATTTATATAAAATACTTATATGACTAATTTTACAGTAAGTAAATATTATAGTGTTAATTAGGACGTTGAAAATCACTAAGTTATTTTAAAATTGCTTGGCTGCATATCTTCAGATAGGAGTCATCCCTAAAAGATTGGCTCTTGTGTCCTACTAAAGTGGAACTTTCCCTTTTAAATACTTTTTAAGTTACAAAAATTAACCTGTAGATAATAGAGCAGAAATGCGAATTACCTGATATTCTAATCCTGAGACACCTAACAATTTATTTTTCCTCATGTTTTTAACGTAAACGCTTTCAAGCATTTAAATGCATACTAGACTAGCTTTTGCTCTTTCCAGCAGACATGTGCTGTCAAGCGATGTTTTACAAAGCACAGGAGAAAAGCATATAAAAATGTCTCACCTACCCTCACCCGCCCCTATTTTTAAAAGATAACGAGTGGACCAAAATTTTAAAATTTAACTATTTACTAACAACTAGTGTTTGTTAATTAAAAGTAAGGGTTAAGAAGATAATCAGCCTGGGATAATTTTAATTAGGGGGTTTCTGAACGACGAGCCCCCACCGGTCCAGATCGACAATCTCGTGGTCCACGCACGCGTGCCCTACTCCTCCGGGGCGCCTCGCGTTCCCTGGGAATCCTGGACAACCGAGCGCCAGAGCGGCTCACGTGGGAGTCTGGAGGTGGGGGAAGGACCTGCGCGCCGGCTCCTGACGTAAACCTCACCCCTAGTGCTTGCCCCGCGAAGCGTAACTCGGGGATCCGTTCCGAAACAGGCCCCATTCCTCTTGGCCAAGAGCAGCAGTGGGCAGTTGAACGCAGAAAGATAGCCGAGAGAGGAGGCACAGAGCCGGCAGGGGCGCTCCCCAGAAGGTGCCAGGCTGCCAGAGGGAGGCGTGTCACCTGCCCGACTGAGGCTGCGCGAACTGGCGCGTCCCGGGCGCGGCGTCTCTCAGGCGCGCCGCGTCGTCTTGGAGACGTGGGCGGGGCCGGCACCAGACCTACGAGCAGAGGCGCGGGAAGCTCTGAGCTTGCGTGGGCCGCGCGGGCGGCGGAAGCTGGTGGGCGTCCTCCGGCTCCCGCGGAGACTTCCCTGAGGCGCGAGCCCGGAGGACTTGACTTCCTCAGGCATGAGGCCCGGTCCGACGGTCCCCAGCCTCCTTGTGGCTCAGCCTCTCGGGCCGGAGCCCAGGGGCGAGTGCACGCATGTCCCTCGGAGCTGGGCCCGGTGACTCCTGTGGCAGCCTCCGCTTCCTCCTCTGCCTCCTCTAGAAGTTCAGGTGATGCTGCCCACTCCCAGGACTGGGTGGGGAGTGCGGGAGACGTGAAAAGAGCGCGCCGCATGGCTCACGGAGCCCGTCCTTGCCCAGCGCGGCGCTCGCGTCGTTCTGCCCGGCGCGCCTTCTCCTCAGTGCCGCGTCTCCCGGGCCCGGAGCGCCGTGTCCTCCCTCGTGTCCAGTGCGTTGCAGGCGGGCGCGGTGCAAGGCTCAGTAGCGTGCGCCTGTCGGATTCGGGCGTTTCTGGATCCCTGCTGCGTAGCCGGGAGAGGGGCTGGTGTAAACAGACCTCAGGGGCCCCATTTGAGCCCCAAGGGGCCAGCTGGGCAAATGTTGTGATGAAGCCTCCCCCTCCGTCGGAGATTAGTGCTCCGTTTTATTTGTTGGGAGGCCGTTCAGATTTCTTGTTAACCTCTGTGTAAATGAATAGTGTAAACATTTGTTGAATAAATGGTGTTAGGGACCTGAGTACCAATCCCAGCTGTACCACTTAGCTGGTGATCTTGGGCACTTCGTTTATAAATTGAAATGACCACCCCTGTTGGGGTAGTTGTATTAAGCAGGTAATTAATGCCCTGGCCAGTGTGGTTCAGTTGGTTGAGAGTCCTCCCGTGCACCCAGTGGTCGCCCGTTTGATTCCCGCGCAGGGCAGGTCCCCCGGCTGCGGGCTAGATCCCTAGTAGGGGGCGTGCAGGAGGCAGCCCATCTATGTTTCTCATTGATGTTTCTCTTCCTCTTTTTTCCTCTTTAAAATCAGTAAAAGTGTATATGTATATTTAAAAGCAGATAATTAATGAAAAGTGCTTAGTACTATACCAGGCACAAAGCACCCACTTCATAAATGTTGCTTTTTAAAATAAAGTGCTTAATTGCAATCACGATTATTCTGCCTGTAATCCACCAGAAATGGTTTTTGTTTTGCTTTTTTCTTCCCCCATATGTGGGTGCCCCTCACAAACAGGTTATTCCAGGAAAAATTACAGCAGAATGAGACACTAATAGAGGAAAAATGTGAAGGAAACATTTTATTCCCCTCACGTTTTATAATCAATTGATGAGTCACATAATTTTATTATATAAACATTTTATATCTTACAGTTTCAGTTTATCAAGGCTTTTATATCAAATTTACTATAACTAAGAATTGTATATTACCTGAAGTTCACTGAACTGCTACTAGAATTTCTGCTGATACGATTTCCAATGTAAATTTAGGTTAGATACGGGATGTTTACTGTTCAAGCATCCTCTCCCTTAACTGACTCCCTGTTGTTGGCTCTCCACATGTTGTCAGATGATCTTTCTTCTGCTTCTGCTCCTCAAACACTGCTTGATGGACACTGCAAGCAAAATGTGAGGTGGGCAGATCTCTTAAATCCATCATCTCTTCCAAATCATCTTCGTTTTCACCAAAAATCAACTCTTGGTCACTGCTACAGAGATCTGACTGGTTGTCATTCCAAGATTTCATAGTATCCCTCAGGATTATCCCCTAATAGCAGGTCTTTTCCATTTTTAAAGTTCTAATAAGGCATCTTCTGCGAGCCTGGCCGCTGCAGGCAGGAAGGCAGGCAGGCAGTGGAGAGGGCGGGGTGGCCCGACGTGGATGCGCGGGAGCTGGGACAACAGGAGGAGCCGGGCCGAGGGAGATGCACTGGGCAAGTGCCCAGCAGCCTCGAAGGTGGCAGGAGTGGCTGTCCAGGTCTGAGTGTGAGCGGCGTCAGGGCCAAGCCGTGCGCACTCCCGCCCCATGCCCCGATAAATGTTATTTTGAATGTAATCTCTGTTTTAGATTGGGTGGTACCCGCCTAAGTGCCATGAAAGTATGAGGTTTGAAGGTGTCAGGGAAGGCTTTTTGGAAGTAGTTGAAACTTATTCTGGGGCTTAAGATATAAATTAAGTACTGTATTTATTTCCTCACTTTCCTTTAGTAGGATCATTCATTTCTCAGACATTGTTTGAAGCTGCAAAATACTGTAGAAACTTTTTAAAGATACTTTTCATTTATATTTTTCAAATTAACATAATTTAAAAAAACCCTAATATTAAAAAACTCATCATAGAAAATAGCACCCACACCCCAGTTGTAGCTTCCATTCTTCTGGCTGTTTCTCCTGATGTTGTTTATAAATTGGAAGTAAATAGGTGATACTGCTTTCACCTGTTTCACCTATGCTATGTTAATTCTACACATTAAGTGTTGATTAATACTTGTGGGAGATAATTGTGACAGGCACCTCTCACAGACACCAGAGGGGGGATGTTGGACAGCCCCCTGAGTCAGAGGTAGAGAGCTGTCCTCAGCCTCCATTCTTGTCTTCTCATATGAATGAATTTAAGTGAGAGACCCTGATTGTGTTGTGATAAAGCCAATTTATTNGTAAAAAGGAAGCTTGAAAATTAATCTGTACCAAGATATTCAGCAGAGGAATTCTGAAACCTATAAACAGGAGGGGATATAACACGTAGAACCCCCACCCAACTTGCTCTTCAGGAGGGGATATAACACGTAGAACCCCCACCCAACTTGCTCTTAAAGAAACAAGGCAAGCAAATCGATACATCTGGCTTATGAAGCACAGACAGGCTCTTCAGGTTAGCTGNTTGAAAAATTAAAGCATGCACATTTATTAAAGAAACAAGGCAAGCAAATCTATACATCTGGCTTATGAAGACAGGCTTCAGAGCCTGTCTGTGCTTCATAAGCCAGATGTATAGATTTGCTTGCCTTGTTTCTTTAAGAGCAAGTTGGGTGGGGGTTCTACGTGTTATATCCCCTCCTGAAGAGCAAGTTGGGTGGGGGTTCTACGTGTTATATCCCCTCCTGTTTATAGGTTTCAGAATTCCTCTGCTGAATATCTTGGTACAGATTAATTTTCAAGCTTCCTTTTTACTTTGTTGTGGCCTTCCCAGAATTCATGAGAAGCACCTGGCAATTTTGCCGGTGTTTCTGCTTAGGGAGTAAAACTGCCCTTTTTTCCTTTCCTCTTCCCCCACCCTTTCCCACATTCTCTTGTTAGGGAGGCTTTTAGTAATTTGCTTTTAAGTGTCCTTGGTTGGGGAAGAAAACAGCTTGTTATTTAACAAGCCAGCTGCAGATTGCCCGCATTATTTGGCCTTGTTTTAACTTTCTTTTCTCAGTTTCCCTATTTATTTTGCCCTGGAATTTTCCTAGCTTTTTACTGGCCTGTAACATAATCACTTAGTTCAGTTTTCCTTTCCTCATCTCACCTATGTGGTGATTTGTTGTTTATATTATATAATAAATATTCACTGCTGAACCAAGTAGAGTACTGACACTCTTCCTTCCTGTACATCTCATCACTTTTTTATGAGAATTAATAATTGTCTTATTTTCTCATTTGCCTAGTATTGCATGCACAGATCACTAAATTATTTTTTTTATGAATACTTCAACATTTCTCATGCGGTTATCAGTAAGTTTTTATGTACTCTTAAAATCATCAGATTCATCTCTTTCTTGAAGACCTTCCTCCTCTCCTCTAATCTGATCTGGTGGGTCTGTTCCTGCTATACCCAGTCTAATCCAGGGACTTCTTTTCATCTCTCTCCTGGGATTTGCTTCTTTTTGCTGTTCTCATGTGTTGACTTTGCTATTGCCTCGACCGCCTTTAATTTTTTTCTTGATTTGCTTCCATGGCTTTTGGAGCACATTCTCCTGTGATTACTACTACTTCTACTTCCTCCTCCTCTTTTCTTCTAATAGCTTTACTTAGATATAACTCATATACCATACAGTTCACTCATTTAAAGTGTTCAATGTTTTGCAACATAGTTATGCGACCATCAGCATTACGGGTTTTAAAACATTTTCTTCACTCAAAAAAGAATGCTAGTAGTCACTAACCTTTTAGTAGTCACTGCACATTTCCCTTCATTTCTTAACACTCTTGGCAATGATCAGTTTACTTTCTGAATCTAGATTTGCTGGTTCTGGGCATTTCATATAAATGGATTCATAGAATAGGTGGTCCTTTATGATTGGCTTACACTTAGCATAATGTTTTCAAGGATCATCGATGTTTTAGCATGTAACAGTACTACTGCATTTCTCCTTGTGGCTGAATAATATTTCATTGTGTGGATATACCATATTTTGTTTATCCGTGAGTTGGTGGACATTTGGGCTTCCGTGTTTTGACTATAGCAGATAATTGCTGCTATAGACATTTGCTTTCAGTTCTCTTGGATATGTAGGGTGTCCCAAAACAATGTATACATACTTTGAATAATTATTAATTCAAATGGGTTAAATCTGAAAAGAAGGAAACATCAATTGAGCTATCAGCTATTAAGTGTGTATTCATTTTTTGGGGGACACCCTGTATACCTAGGAGTGGAATTGCTGGATCAAATGGTAACTCTTTATTTATCTTTTTGATAACCTGTTTTCCAAAGTGGCTGTACCATTTTACATTACACCAGCAGTGTATGAGGGTTTAAATTTCTCTATATCCTCACCAACACTTACTATCTTTCTGTCTTTTTTATTATAGCCATCCTGATGGGTATCTCATTGTGGTTTGATTTGCATTTCCCTGATGGCTAATGATGTTGAACATCTTGTAATGTGTTTATTCATCGTTTATATATCATCTTTGGAGAAATGTCTCTTCAAATTCTTTGTTCGNTTGTATATTTGAAGTTCGCTTAGAAGAGTAAGTCTTGCCCAGCCAGGCATGGCTCAGCGGTTGAGCATCGACCTGGGATCCAGGCAATCAGGGTTTGATTCCCAGTCAGGGCACATGCCCGGCTTATGGGCTCGATCAATAACTCTGTCATCATTGATGTTTCTGTCTCTCTCTCTCCCTCTCCATTCCTCTCTCTGAAATCAATAAAGATATATTTTTTTAAAAAAAATTCTTTGTTCATTTGAAAATTAGGTTACTTGTCTTTTTATTATTGAGTTGTAGGAATTAAAAAAATATAATTTAGATATAGTTCCCTTAGCATATTTGCAAATATTTTCTCCCATTCAGTGAGTTGTCTTTTCACTTTCCCCACATTGTTTTTGTTTCATCCAGAATTTTTATTTCCTCCACATTTCTGTTATGAAAAATTATAAGCACATGTACTATGTACCCATCACCCAGTTTAAAAAACTATCAACTCATGCTAACCACTAAGCANTTCCTCCACATTTCTGTTATGAAAAATTATAAGCACATGTACTATGTACCGATCACCCAGTTTAAAAAACTATCAACTCATGCTAACCACTAAGCTATACACCTGAAACCAATACAAAATAATATTGAATGTAAACTGTAATTTATGTAGTTCTGGAGGCTAGATAGAAGTCTGAAATCAAGATGCTAACAATGCCATCCTCTTTCTGAAGGTTCTGGCGGAGGATCTGTTCCATGTGCTGCCAGCAGTCCTTGGTGTTCCTTGGCGTTCCTTGGCTTGCAGACACACCACTTCAGTCTCTCAGTTCATCATCACATGCGTTTCTTCCCGTGTATCTATGTCTTCACTGACATTCTCCTGTATATGTAGATCTGTCCTTGTGTCTCTTCTCTTTTGGTAAAGACAATAATCATAGTGGATTAAGGGCCCACCCTATCCAGTATGACCTCATCTTAACTTGCATCTTAATTACTTCTGCAGAAGACTCTGTCTCCAAATAAGGTCACATTTATAGGTACTAAGGATTAGGACTTCAGCATATCTTTTTGGGGGACACAATTCAACTCACAACATTGCTGTTCTTTTCACTAAGAAATTTTAAAAAAACATGTTATTTATTCAGTTTGTAATGAATATTGTTGGTAAAAATTATCACCAAATGAAAATGAAAACTGTACACAGTACTCTACTACTAAGCAAAAACTGCCTGAAGCTCTGGCCTGTGTGGCTCAGTTGGAGCATTGTCCTGTGTACTGAAAGGTTGCAGGTTCCATTCCCAGTCAGGGCACATACCTAGGTTGTGGGTTTGATCCCCATTTTGGGGTGTGTACAGACGGTAACCAATCGACGTTTCTCTCTCCCTCTCTCTCCCTCTCTCTCCCTCTCTCTCCCTCTCTCTCCCT